GATGCGTCAAGAAAGCGCAATTGCAAGATGATCTGACAGTTTAGTTAACTGGGCTGATACGTGACATGGATGATGGAAGATGCAGTTTAATGTTGACAATGACCCATGGTGCAGAGGGTGGATGCAGCATTGCCAATGTATGGGTTTTTAAGCCCTAAGTGTTGCCAGGTAATTTTGAGATGCGTCGCCAGGTAATTTTTAACACATTTTTCTTAGCTTAGCTTCGCGTTTGTTTGTTTGTTTGTTGTTAACATTTACAACAAAAATTAGCCCACTTCTGATTGCTCTAGAGATCTGAAATTCGGCATGCAGGCTATTTTCGCCTAACAATTTCAGATACAATCATAAAAACTAGCAATTAGAGAACTAAATTAGCTTAATTGAGTAAAGTATATATGATTAGTATATATATAGTATGACGTGCGGGCGCTGACGTTATAGACGAGCAGGCGCTTACGCTGCGTATCATCGATACGTACGTCAAGGCAAGTAAATTGGCTCGCAACAACGTTTTTCATGTGTAGCAACGGACTAAAAAGAAGAAAATAAAATACTTAAAAAAAACTTTTTAAAAAAACACGTTTTTCTTGTGGACTAAAAAGTAGAAAATAAAATACTTAGAAAAAAACTTTTTAAAAAAACACATTTTTCTTGTGGACTAAAAAGTAGAAAATAAATTATGGCTCGCCCCAAAAAACGTGTGTCGGACGGGCTGTACGTTCGCCATCAAATTTCCAAAATTCGTGTGTTGTGTGCTTTTCGCTTTTATCATAAATCTGCTCGACACACGTTTTTTGGGACAAGCCATAATTTATTTTCTACTTTTTAGTCCACAAGAAAAACGTGGTTTTTTAAAAAGTTTTTTTTTAAGTATTTTATTAATGAAAAGCCATTCACACTGAATAATGAAAAACTATTTACAAGCCACAAACTTATTTACAAAGTTGCATGCGCGTGTTACCCCAAACATAGTGGCAAAGAGAGAGTTTTTAGTCCCAAATAACTAATTTTACCCTAAAAACAGTCCGATTGTACAGCAAGTGTCAACTGAACATGTGTCCGATTCAGTGTCAACTGAACTGACTGCTCAAATGTGACCGCAACTATGTAATCGTAAACTTGATGTTTACGTTTTTCTGGCGGGAACTCATCGCAACTGATTTCCGGACAAGCTTCACTGCATACTGATCAATCCAACATACCGGAAACCTTACTTTCTTTAAATAGTTGGCCGAAGACTGACAAATATATTAAATTAAAGAATTTCAATTTAAATGTGTTGGCAAGATCTTCTGAAGGCGTAAATTTTGCTACTGAAGCGCTGCTAAAGATCTTGCAATATTCATCCACTCTCTGCACAGTGGACAATGACAAGTGTAAAGTACCTACTTCACCTGGGAGTTTAGATTACTTTAGAGTTTAGAACTTAGAAGAACAATGAACAGCAAGATTACAGTATGAGAACTTTGAGAAGACATGGTTGCAACTTGCAATGAGAGAGTAATGATTGAAAAGTCTAGTGTGGAAAAAGATCTCGGAGTTTACTTATGTTGACAATGAGCTGAAATTTTCTAAGCATGTTGAAAAGCAGGCCAACACATCCAACAAACTTCTTGGACTTATCAGACGCTCATACAAGTTCCTAGATGCAGAAGCGATGAAGCAGTTGTTTGTTGCTGACGTGCGCCCAAATCTAGACTTTGGAAACATTGTGTGGTCACCGAGATTTGAAAAGGACAAAAATTTAATAGAGAATGTTCAAAGACCTGCAACAAGGATAATTCCAGGCTTCAGCCTCAGGCTTGAAATGAAGGGCAAGTCCTATGAAGAAAGATTAAAGATTAGGCTACCTATGTCCTATATAGCCTAATAATATAGGCTATGAAGCTTCCAAGCCTCCATGGTCAGGAAGATGTGCCAGGTGCGCGGGAATTTATTTTGTCATTTTAACGACCTGCGCGGTGCGCCGTACTTGTACTATGCTGGTAAAAAAATGCGCCGTGCGCCGTACTTTAGAAAGCTAAAATAGTTGTACTATTTTAGTCGACAATATACGCGAGTATATTGACTACACGAGTCGAACTGACAATAATAAAATGTAAGACATGTCCGGGTTACTTCTGACTCTTCTGCTTGTCCGCCTTATCGGATATGGAACGTACGGTAATCGTAAACTGCGGCTATTATACATACGAAATGTAAACAGACGGTATTCAGTGTTGCCATATGACTTTGGAGAAAATTTCTTCTAAAATAAAGTTCTAGATTTCCCATTCACCAAATTTCCATATAAAAAAAAATCATATATTATTGAAAGATAATTAAAGGCATACTGTACTGAGTAATGTGAGTATTACGTCTGTTCCTCCACACCAGACTGTAGAGCATGGCACAACATAGGTTGAAGACGCCGATTTCATGCACCAAAGACGCCAAGGTGGATGCCACTGGACACCACTGGACGCCGGTCGCCAATTATGCTTCTCCATAAATCGCGATTTACGATCGATATGGCCGATGCGCCGTATTGATCTACACGCTACGATCGTAACTATGTGTTGTAGCGCGTAGTTCCGATGGCTGTGAGAGCTACATTTGAGCACCCAAGCACACGAGCTCATAGCCACCTGAACTACGCGATGTAGCGCGCAGTTCC